ATATATATATATATATATATATATATATATATATATATAAATAAAAAAAATTGTTTAACAAATATTTATAATATATATATTTTACATTTTTATGTTTAACATTCTTTTTATAGATACAAATATTAAAGTAAAAAATCTTTGTTTATAATAAACAGTATTAAACAACATTTACTGTCCAGGATGTCCGAAAATTTTCGCAGAAAATATTTTTTTCTAATGACAGGATTCGAACCTGTATCTTCCTATACGGAACCGTCATTTAGCTTGACGCGCCTTTACCGATTTGGTCACGAAAAGCGTTCGGTTTACTGTTCAAAATTTACTTTATTATAAACTTTTCCAAATATATATATATATATATATATACATATATATAAATAATTTGCGAATGTCAATTTATCCCAACATATCATACCGTTTTGGAGTCAGGACGACTCTGGAGCAAATTAAAAACATTCCGGGTTGGATCCAGATCCACAATCCTGACATTTTGGATTCAAGATGTTTAATTATTTATATGATTTTAGGAAATTGAACCATCTTGGCTTCTACTAATCTTACGTCTAAAAACAATTAAAGGGACACAAATCAAAAATTTTTTCAATAGCTCATGTTCCAATGAAAAATAATACTGTTCTCAAATTAGAGTTTTTCAAAATAAAATTGTCCGTGTTTTCAAATTTACACCTAGAGGCCGTAGCCCAACATATCACTTTGAAATCAGGCCGTTTACGTGAGCAAATTAAAAACAAGAATTCAGGTTGGATCCAGACCCTCAATATATAGAACAAGAATTTGAAAATTTTCATTAATGACGATAAAAAAGTTTTTTACGGGATTTTAGCGATTAAATTTTTTCATACGATAACAATTTTTATAACTTCGAAATAATTTTAGTAAAAATCGAAATTAATTGGGAAATCCAGCGAATGTCTCTCATGAAATAAAAATAATTGTTTTTACGGTAAGTATGGACCTACGTACATCAATTTTTCTTTAAATTCACTGGCGGTTTAAAATGTAAACTTATATATTAATGCAATACTTAAATGCAGCGTTGAATTTGGAGTTTTGTAGTTTATTGTTACCTATCGCACCTACTCCTTCCTACCTATTGTGATGAAGGCCCGATCGAAAGCTCTCTGAATAGGAATTATATATTCAAAAATAGATAGGGCGATTAAAACTAGAACACACACAAACAGACACACACACACACACACACAGAACATACATATATATATATATATATATATATATATTTTTTATAAAAAAAATTCTTTTGCAAAATTTTTTTGGTCGGGTTCTTCATTAACCAAAACAAGGCCAGAAGACCATATAAACATATGTATATAAATCCTACGTTTGAAGTTAAGGTAAGTTTAAAGAAAGTTTGCGATCATGACATATGTGTAATTAGTTTATATTCGTTATTTCTATACAATTGTAGTTACTGTCTCAAAACGTTTAACGTGTATAGTAGTGAATTTACTTAGAATTTTTCTGTTTAAAGATTTTGGTATTCATATTTTATAGCAATATGATTTTCCATACTATGAATTTAATGGGCGCGAGGCTTTCATAGAAACTTAAGATAAAACCATTGCAGACATATGTCTATGGATTTTTGTCTTTGTTTTAATAGGAAAAAACGTATTCTTGATACGCCATATATATATATATATATATATATATATATATATATATATATATATATATATATATATAATGAAATATGTTGTAGTGGTTCCAACGAGAGAAAAGTATGTATATTAAAAAGAAGAGAGAGGTGCCGCAAACGTTTTTGGTTGTAATGTGGATTTTTTTAAAAAAAATATTATGCTTTATTTTCCATAATTTTACTACACGTGTTTCTGGTCTCGTGATCGTCTTCAGGTAAAAGGCGGAGATTTCCACATATTATTAAAAATAATTCATTTTTTCCTTATGTTTTTCAATGTTAAATATTCTCGATATAAGACAATCTCTGTTTTTGTGTTAGTAATCCGAATGTCTTTCTTGAACTGGTGTGTTCTTAGATCTGTTTCCATTTTCGTGTGTTTCTGTCAGCATGCGTGTATATATGCGTGCGTATATTCCCCCTCCATACATATGCTGTCTTACTACGAGGAATTAGTAAACTCATTTGTACACACACACACACACACACACACACACACACACACACACACACACACATACATATATATATATATTTTTTCCTTTTATTGTACATTTTCCTGTGTCAATTTTAAATCTCCCGTTGAAGCCTGAATAAACCGGTTTGCTTCACCCGTTTTTTTTAATATGTCTCGAAATAGTTTTTTATACTTTTATTTCGATCATTAAATTTTGTACCTACAAAAATATCTTTATATATATATATATATATATATATATATATATATATATATATATCGGAGAGCCGAGTTCGAATTCAGTCGAATCCATTACGTGCAAATACCCTTGGGAAAGGTATTAATCCTCTTCTCCTCCATCTTCTATCGTCTTGGGTGGCAACTGGTCTAGGAGAAGGACAAATTCAAAACCTGCGGAGGGTCGTTTGGGGACCTTGTGACGCGTGGTTTCAGCTCTTTGAAATGTGTGGTTGGTTCTGCATAAAGCCTACACCACTCAAATCAAATCATCTGTGCAAGTGTCTGACTGTCGGTTCCTATAAACGGATACAACGGGAGAGTCTACCATATATTTCAAATTTGGGCAATCAATCAGCTGTAATCGGTTGTTTATAAATCTAGGGAAAATATGAAAAGCGACGAAAATAACTTCGACTTGACCTTATAAAAACGAACATTCGTCAGCGTTTGAACACTTGTCTCTCTTTCTCTCTCTCTCACTCCCTCTCTCTTTCTTCCATTCCCCCCTCCATTCCCTTGCTCAACACACAAAAATCAGTTTTGGGCATATCACTAGAGTGCAATAAGTGATTTTCTTATTTATTACGAAACTTCAAAATCAAACAAAAGAAATGTCGATTCTAGATCCAGCAAACCAAACCTTACCTATAGAGGGAAAAATTATTTATCTTTAAATATGTTTTATATGGAATTGCCTGAACCTAGACAAACTGTTATAAAGCCGCATGACAATGAGCAACTGGTTTGTTTGAATAACCAATTAAAACATACATTTCTTTGGTTGCGTGAAAGAGGCCGTCCTCCCTGTGAAAATGTAGTACAGCGTATAATCCTTTAGGTGGGATGGGAAGTTCTTCCGCATGACGAATATTCTCTACGCCTTATACTATAAGGCTTTCATGGGCTTCGCCTCATGCAACACCTTTTTCCTGGTCAGCGACCCCAAAATATTTAAAATATCGGAAAATTCCTCGAATGCTTATCGGATCGGAACTGGAATCGTTCTTTTATAATTGTATGCACAATTCATCTGAAGTCTGGTTATGGAAAAACAAGGAAAAGAACATTTATCACTGAATAATATCATGAAATTATATGAAGATTTCCTGAAAAGAAAGCTAGAAATTTGTTCTATAATATGTGGAAGCAATTTGGTTGGCTGTTTAGCAGCATATCAACATCTATGGATTATTTGATACCGAAATATAAATTTTTTTATACGCAATTAATAATAATGCTTAGTGATACATGACTTAGATACAATTTAAATACAACGTCAATCGCCATCTTCTGTCTCCTTGAATCTTAATCTTTTAATGCCTTCTGGTTCCTCAAAGTTTTCTCACTTTCTTTCACCCTCAGTAACCCTTTTAATGGCTTCATCGCCTTGCTTGTAAGGAAAAGATTTAAAAAAAAAACATAGATAGATGGATCAGGAAGAGAATTAGATACCGCAAAAGATTTGTTAGAAAGTAAGCATGCATGATGAAAAATACATTAAGTAATGTTTCTGTAGCATGCTTGTAATTAGTATCAATCTTAATCTCAAAGTTATATGTAGGGACATGACTATTTGAAGACTACAGTTGGCGTCCGCCAGGGCTGTTTGCTTTCCCCAATATTGTTCGATCTCTCTCTTGGGAACCCCTTGAAGACCTTCAGTTCATCATATCCATAGGAAGGAGAATCATTAACTAACGCTTCGCTGATGACATAGACTTGTTGGGTGGGACAACTCTGAATTGCATGGTCTCACCCACAGATTGACGGACATAGTCGTAGCGTATGGAATGGGAGTGAGCACTAAGAAGAGTAATGTCCTGGTCAACAGCACAACCAACATCAGGGCCTAGATCTTCATGAATGGAGAAGAACTGGAAGAAGTAGACGCCTTTAAATATTTTGGCGTTATTCTCACCAAAGATGGACGATCTACAACAGAGATCAAGACCAGACCGGATGTGGCAAACTCAGTAAGATTTGGAAGAGAAAACACATCAGCATTCCAACCAAGATGATGAAGCTCTACGAGTCCTTGGTTCTATCCATACTGCTCTATGGATGTGAAAGCTGGACTCTGATAGCAGAAACCACTGAGAGTGTCCAAACATTTGAAACAAAATGCTTCAGACGCTTTCTCGGGATCTCCTGGAGAAACTACTTTGTTCAGGGTCAAGTAACATAACTGGCAGGTCCCTAGGAGCTCCTCTTGGTAGCATGAAAAAAGGAGAAAGCTGTTGTGGCTTGGACATGTCATACGCCAAAATAGCCTAAACAAGACGGTCCTTCAAGGTGGCATGGAAGTGGGTAGATGTAGCGGTAGGCAGTCTAAAAGCTGGATGGACAACCTTAAAGAATGGACCAGGATGGAAAACTCTGGCACGCTGTTTCGGGAGGCGGAAAACAGATCTGATTGGCGGTGGCTGGCTGCATCATCGTCGCTCTTGTCTCCTCTACGATCGGTTCGGTCATGAGTCAGAAGAAGAGGTAAGGTGAACAGTCCATACCTTTTCGAAGGATAATTGTGCGGAGGAGAATAAAAAGAAACCAGCTGGAATTTGAAATCGGCTCTCCGATTTCGAATTTCCAGCCGTTATCAGTTACACCGCCCACACTTCCAAGCTTACAGTAGCTGGTATTCTTAAGCAATCAGCCATCAAACTACTGACAAGGCACAACGTTGCTTAACTTCGGTGATCGTACGAGGAACCGGTGTTTAAACGTGGCTGTAAGCCTCTCTCTCTCTCTCTGTTGTGCCATGCGTGATACACGCTTAGGCGATCATGTATCTTACGATACATGACTGACGAGGCAGATTTTTTTCCCGCAGTAGGTTGCCATTTCTTTCTGCGGTAGACCGGTTTCCATCCAAGGCTATAGAACCCAGTCTGTCCTGCTATTTACCCATAGCTGGAGGGAGTAGAATAGGATTCATACATTTCCCAAGGGTATTAGCACGTAAGTGAATGTAATAGATTCGACTGGAATTCGAACTCGGCTCTCCGATTCTTTAATCCGAGCCCCTATCCATACGGAAGCAAATAAACGCAAACACATATCTACATGCATACACCAGGAGTTATATATTTACACATGGGTAATTGAATAGCAAAATGGGAAACATTCCTGTGTGGCACGTTTCAGCCCTGGGAAGTACATCTTCAGTCTAATAAATGTCTTCTAAGGTAGGAAGAAATACAGCAAACTAACATTCTCAGTTGACATGAAGTGGAAAGAATCTTGAATCCATTGCTAGACCAGCTGCCAAGAAAGTTGGTTCACTGTGTCGTGCGAGACAATTTTTCTCTTCAGAATATTACATATCTATGTCTACCCATTCATCCTTGCTTAGAATATTTCAGCCACGTATGCTCCAGTGCTATATATTTAGAAATCCTTGATAATATCCAAAGCAGAATCAGCAATATTATTGGTCCTGATCATTTACCATCTCTCTCTCTCTCCGTTTCAATATCTGTTCACAAATCTCATCAGGTTGGTGACCTGCTACCACCCACCGATTCTTACCTTCGATATGCCCTCTGAGTGTCAAAATTTCCAAGCCTTCCTTTCTCATTATGATAATTCTTGTTTTACATTTGTAGGTATTGTTAGGTAAATATGATTGTATCTGGCATCCTTATAGTGTCGCAATCGTCGAATATTAGTGCCAAATTGTCGTATGTTTCTGGTGAGTAGTCATTTCGCAACTAAAATCGACCTATGAAACGGCAATTTTTTTAAAGATTTCGTTGTAGATGTGCATAATACGCACGTCTAATTTTACTTATTTTTTTTATATAGAAAAATGCGTATTATACATTCGAAATTACGGTGTTTTCGCACTTAAACGGTGATAAAAGGTTTAACGAATGTGTATGCCAAAGTATTTTAAGGGTAGTCTTGTGTATATTTTTGGTTTAATTGAAGCCATTGCTAGACCAGCTGCCAAGAAAGTCGGTTCACTGTGTCGTGCGAGACAGTTTTTCTCTCCAGAATCTTACATATCTATGTCTACCCATTCATCCTTGCTTAGAATATTTCAGCCACGTATGCTCCAGTGCTATATATTTAGAAATCCTTGATAATATCCAAAGCAGAATCAGCAATATTATTGGTCCTGATCATTTATCATCTCTCTCTCTCTCTCTCTCTGTTTCAATATCTGTTCACAAATCTCATCAGGTTGGTGACCTGTTACAACTCAATGATTGTTACCTTTGATATACCCTGTGAGTGTCAAAATTTCCAAGTCTTCCTTTATCATTATAGGACCGGCCTTCTTTCTTCATTATTGGACCCAGAAATTTCAGTTGTCACCTCCTGAGTCTAAGTATAAATGTTGTTTTTGGTTCCGTTTTTCTTAAAATTTTCTAGTTGCTTACACGGTATTCTCAGCATCCTTCTGTAGAACCATATTTCTGTTGTCTCGCGTCTCATCTGCCGCATTCACTTTTGCGTTTTTCTGTTTCCCTCACCCCACATAAGGTTCCCAGATCCAATTCAGCGTTGTTCAACTTCAATTGGATATGGGATAAGAAAACCCAAGATGCCCCTGTTAGCACCCCAACATCAGTCAAATTGCTAATTGGATCCTGGAAGAATGACAATAAATAGCGTGATCCGATGAATTACGTTTTCAGTTGTTTCCAACTGATGTGTATCCTAGACGTTATGTGGCCTCAGTTGTGAACAGGTCACCATATAACTAGACGCCTCTCCATAGTGATTTTCCAAGCCTAGCTTAGATGTGACATAAGGCCGAAAGTATGGGGAACCCAGTGAGGATCGAACTCTCTACTCAGTCATAATTGATCTAGCAAGACAAGCTTTCTAACCATTACACCACCTCGGGGTTCTCAAGACGCCTCTCCATAATGGTGTGCGCTGTATTCATCTGTCATACTCTTGATCTTCTGCAGCACCTACTGAGTGTTAATAGCTAAATTTTACTGCTTTGTGACCATTCATGGATTCGATGTAGCGATTTACTAAGTGTAGCTTTGATGTGGCACAAGGCCGAAAGTATGGAGCATCCAGCGCGGAACGAACACACTACCCATTCGGACGTTTAATGGATAGCGACTCAGAACGGGATAACTGTGAGAAGAGTTCGAATTCTGGTCGAGTTCCTTACAGTCACTTTCGCACAAATACACTAAAGAAATGTGTGATTTCCTCTGCTTCCAACTATAGGCTAAATAGATGCACGGACTGGGCTCTCTAGCCATGGTTTGAAAACCAAACTAGGAGAAAGAAAACTATAAAGACATCTCTATACATAGCCTGGGCAAAGCTTATATACGAGGTTGGGTTGAAAAGTTCATAGGTTGACTATGAACGAATGATGTTAGGGATGTGAAATCTTGTGCAATGCAGTTATTAATAAAAAGCGTTGGAACTGAGGAGCCTGGAATCACCTCTTCATTGGTGTTGATCCTAGGTTCATCCTCACCTAGGATGGTAGCAGTGGTTATGGTCCCAGCGATGTGCAAATAGTGAACACCCAATCAAAAATCAACAGTACATTTTTATAATAAAATGAGTAACAATACATTTTTATAGCAAAATGACAATCACTGCGTCACTAAATTATAAAAATACATTTTAACAGTAAAATTGCCAACAATACATTTAATGATCTACAAAATACATTTTTATAGTAAAATTATCAACAATAAGTTTTATGATCTACAAATAAACATTTTTATAGTAAGATTAGCAACCATAAATTTTAAGATTTGCAAAATACATTTTTATAGTAAAATTACCAACAATACATTTTATGATCTACAAAATACGTTTTGATAGCAAATTAGCAACAATACATTTTATGATTAGCAAAATACTTTTTTATAGTAAAATTATCAACAATATATCTTATGATCTACAAAGACTTTTTTATAGTAAAATTACCAACAATACATTATATGATCTACAAAATACATTTTTATACTAAAATTACCGACAATACATTTTATGATCTACAAAATACTTTTTTATAGTGAAATTATCAACAATACATTTTATGATCTACAAAATACATTTTAATAGCAAAATTATCAACAATACATTTTATGATCTACAAAAACCTTTTTCTAGTAAAATTACCAACAATACATTATATGTTCTACAAAATACATTTTCATAGTAAAATTACCAGTACATTTTATGAACTACAAAATACCTTTTTTATATTAAAATTACCAACAATACATTATATGATCTACAAAATACCTTTTTTATGGTAAAATTACCAATAAAATTTAGCAATAAAAAAAATATAAAATAAATTTTTATAGTAAATTATCAACAATAAATTTTACGATCTACAAAATATATAATCTGAAAACATAAAATTATGTACAAAATATCTGTAGTTGAAAAAGTAATGATATTACGTGTATAATATTTAGATTTCGGCATTAAATAACCCATAGACGCTGATATGCCGACAAACAAAATCAACCAATCAACAACCAGTTCAATGATCTACGTTTATTCTCTACACCCTGTTCAATGTCGATAAGTCCTCTGCTTGCACGTTTTCGTCGTGTGTATAATCTTATCATATATGACGTTTGTTGCAGGGTACGATTCTCAAAAACCATAGATACGGTTAAGATATTAACGGCTGTTATGAGATTAAGGGCATTCAACTTGGACTTCAGAAGAAGCCGTAATCTTTTCTTGTATGTTTTTGTAATCAGTTCTTTTATCTGTCTTCCAAAAATGTCATTCAATTCCAGAATACCAATGTATTTGTTTCCAGTTTCCTCTGGGTCAGCGATGGTTTCTTCTGTTGGTAGTTTAGTCCCTGTACTAGCATCTCTTTTTCCTCGCTTCATCTTCAGTACATCCCAAGCTCCATACCAATGTCCTTGCAGTAGATATTAATTTCTTTTCTAAAGAGTCAATATGTCTCCCACTCGTGGTAAAGAGTTTGAGAACATACAAAAAAAGGAGAGAGTTAATGGCATTCTCCAGCTATTATTGTTATATTATCTATGTTGATTTCTGGTATATACATATTGCTTTCTGGGTTCCAACCAGAGACCTAAGGTCAGAAATGGCATCATGATATTTTCCACTGAGAATTTTTTGAGGAAAAAATTAACAAAAACAACAACAAGAAAAAAAAAACAATCTAAGATCACACATATTTTACATAGATAAAGCCTTTCGTAAGATGCGGGATATACTTTTGAGTACAATATTTTGTATTTCCTTAAGGCTTCGGCTACAAATGATAACTTCAATAAGTCTATCGGAATCTTTTCTAGTCAATTCGAGGGCCCCAACTACAACTGGAATTGTGCCACATTTTTGAGATTTTGAGTTCACGGTCCTTGTATTTTGATAGTTTTTGAAAATGAAAGATGTATTAAAATCTGGAGGGACAGCCATGTCAATAAGAAGACACATTTTGTTTTTGCGGTCTCTGATCACGATGTCTGGGGGATTAGCTTTGATTGTTCCTTCTCTGTGTTCTGTAAAGTCCCATAATATTACAGTAAATAAAATTTACAGGTCCTGTTTTTTTTTAAACGGACTTGGGCGGTGTTCATACCAATTTCTTGCAGTTTCCTTTCTGTAAAAGTTGCAGATTTTCCAGTAGAGATATTGACCAACTCATGTCGGGTTTTATATTCAGTGGGTGCCAATACGGTTCAGCTAGGCCCAAGATGGTCAAATGCTTCTGGACATTTATTACAGACTCTGCATATTGTTG